TATCTGTCGTCGTCGTCGCCGCCGCCCTAGAAGCCAAACGACGCCCAATTAACCCCAACAAACACAAACAACAGGCTCTCGTCCAGACTCGGCGACTTTGAGCAACGTATTAGCCTGTACCTAATCCAGCCTCAAGGCCCAAAACCCTTACTTGCCTGTGCATGTCGCCGTTCTGGCCCGATGCAGACGCAAAGCAGCACACGGCCACTCGCCTAGAGGTCAGGGCTTTCAAGGATGAAACCTACCAAAGAATGCTTACTCGACAGTCTTTGGGAGGCTTTGTCAGGGTTGCTCTTGGCTGAAGGTGGACTTTACATGCTGGATATCCTAAAGCCTGTGCTTCGAGTTTAGCAGTTCAAATGGACTGCAGATTGAAATTGAAATGCCCTAAGACTCCAGAAAGACTTTTGCATGCATACTGTTTGTTTCCCATGTGAGCCCGTCTGCCTGTATCTTAGCACTCCACACCTTCCTCCGCCACAAACTAGTCCAAACTTGTGGCTGGTGCAGCCTGCGGTGCCCCAGCTATCGGGCCCTGCGCCCTGCATCCTCCTCATCGTCCTGGTATTTGTACTCCTGATAATGGCGCTAATACTTGAACTCCAACCGTAATATAGCCACTGATACCGCTGACTCCTCCTCCTCCGCCCATATCAACATTAAGGCAGCTCCCCCTAAAAATGAGTTTCCGCTGATGTGAATTAAGGGGATCTTAGAAGAGCCTGGCTCGTAAGCACCCCTGCAAGCTCATCCCGAAGCGCTCCGAAAGGTGAAAGGCTCCATTCAGGACATCCGGAGCACCTTTTACTGTTAACCCCCGGTCCAGCAAGAGCAACTTCTTGGGCTGCAGGATTTATCCCTCAAGCCGAAACGCGAAACTACCCTTCGCCAGCAAAGACCCTCAAAAACCCTGGAGGCCAAACCTTACACCCTTGTGAAAGCCCTGGGGCACTTTCAACCCCCAATCCCCTGATCTCATTTTCTTTGAGCCTGGAAACTCTGCAGACTGCAGAACCTAAACCGTTAACCTTCTCCTTCCAGTCTGCAATGCCGTAAATCTACAAGTACGAGTAGAAGCCTTGAAGAAAGGCTCCAGGAGCCGAGTGAGAAGGCAGGCCCGGTACGGCAAGTGATTGGCCCGGTGCCTTCCGCTGCTAGAAATGGGCGCTTTAAGGCTTTGTACATACAGGCAGAATGTACATACGATTGTGCGGCACATATGTTCAGGCTTTTGTAGGGATCTGTGAGGAAAGCGGCGTAAAAATCTAACACATTCTGGCTAACGTACAGCCTGGCTCGAAGCCTACATCTCACTCACTGTCGTTCTCTTAATGTGTGACTGTGCTTTCGAGATTAAGAATACCGGCTTTGGCCAGTGCTTGGAACATGGCTCTAGGACGACGTTACTTTCGTGGCCATGCCGTGTCCACGAACCCCAGAACTTGGAGCTTTTCAAAATCCCAGGTCCCGGATCCGAAGCACCCACTGCAGGCGGAATAAAATATTGAATCGGAAGGATTGTAAGTAAAGAGCATGCACAGGCAAGGCAAACTAGAGGTTTATCGAAACCTGTGCATTCACTGCTTTGCTGCATATTCTTAAGGCCCGAGTTCTAAGCCCTAGCACTCCAAACAGGTTCTAGCCTTCTTGATTCTGATAAAACTACATACACGTAAACCCAAGGAGGCTGATGAAGGCTCACCCAGCCCTTATACTATGACTATACCTCTGCTATGCTGTAATATATGAGTATTACTTTTATACTTCTACTTCGTGGATTGGACGGCAGTAAACTCTTCTTTGGGTCAATCCTGGGCAGCTCCCTGATGCACCCTGAGCAGAGGGTTTAGACTTGTTGCCTGGGTTTCGTCTCCCGCTCGAGCTCGCACAATGCAGTCAAGACCCCGGGTGAGGGCTTCTGGTTTAATGGTCGATTCCAGTCGGCTTTGATATTCTTTGGGTTTTTCGCCTTCCATTCAGAAACACAGCCGCTCAACCGACATGGGGTGGCATACTGTTTAAGTTTTCTCGTGTTTGGATTCGAACTGCCGGTCCTCAGCGCGTGGATGACTGAACCCAAGGCCGACAGCCTTGGCACAAACAAAAGGGGCCCTAAATTATGTGCGGTTGAAGATACCAGAATCTGCCCACGAAACAATGCAACGTCATGTGAATCAGTGAATCAAGCCAAGCTACTTGATTGACTTTCTTTATTTCTCCTGATCCTGAAACGCCATTCCTCGAGGACATATTGCCCAAAAACCTGAATGTGCTACGCTTTCAATCATATCGCTTCTACAGTAGAAGCCCGAAAGTTGAAGACTGCATGGCCTCAATCCTTAAGAGTGATGAAAAGGGAATCCCAGCACCATTTGGCCTTAATCCGGTTTCCAACTTTTTGGGTTTTACCGTGAAGGAGCCGTCCCTTTTTGGGTCCCTATTATTATACGGCACCTAATATTTAGGGTACCCCAAAAGGGACCCTAACTTTGACAACCACCCATATCGCTTCTAATTGAGCCGGGAAGCGATAGATTGATGTGTCGGCTCTCTTCTGCGATCGGGCCACCCACCTGCGACTTTCATGTTCTTGCCTCACCCATGGCAAGCCCCGAAACGAAAGGCTGCGGAGGGGCCGGAGTTTAGGATTCTACTTTGGGTGGGAGCCTGGGTATCGGGAAGTCAGGGGGCTGCTTGCCGTTCTAGCTTTTTCATGTAGCTGTGCCGGGCTTGTCCGCGTTTCCTTCGGACGCTGCGCGAGTGCAGTTGACAGTCAAGCAGCTTTGCATGTTCCGTGCTTGTGCCAGGTTTGTCCATGCTTCCTACGCTCTCCACTGTGTCGGCCTTGTTTCGACTTAGCACTGACCCTTCTGGCGCCAAAACCTGGGAACATGCCTGAATTCCAAGTCCCGGCATCCGAGCGAACATCCTACTAGCTCAACTATCGACGCCAGGTTGTCCCGCGTGACAGCCAGCAACACCCTCGAAAACCCTCGTTGCTCCCCCCACCTCCGCAGGAAGGCGTTCCGAGCCGGCCAGGTCCTCTCTGGGCTTAAAGTTTGGGGTTTGGGGTTGCTCCTTTTCGAGGCCTGCCCCATGGACTCAATGCAAAGAGCGGTGACAACGGGCCAGTTGCTCGCAGAGAGACGTGAGAACCATAAGTTCGGTAAGGACTCTAGCGGCACTTATGTGCTCCCATGGAAGCCCTGCAGTGATTGTAATATCCTTAACCAGAACCCTCAGACTCGGGGTCCACGAAAGCGATACGCATGGCAGGTTCGACGCCTCCAGCTGGCTGGGGCTTAAACCGCTGCTTCTGTATCAGGTTCAGACCCTTTGGGGTCTTTGTTCTGGTCTTGGCCACGGCGCTTGTCTGCAGCTTTGCGACTTGCAATCTGTTTTTTGGAGGTGCGAGTTCTGCAATTGGCAGACAGGATGGTCAGAAGTCCCTCGCTGCTTCGAGCTCAGGATATTTGGCTGTCATTAGGCAACTAACTGTCTCTCACACACAAAAAACTACTTGACCCTACTTCGTGCAGAGGATGGTACTTCCCACTGTTGATGCCATCCCTTACTGAAAACCCTTTATGGTGCTGCGACAACTTTTTACCCTGTGCTCCAACTCAAGATCCCTACCCATTCCGACTCTTTCACAAACCCCTTGGGCTATGGTTCGCAGGCTCTGGGCTCTGCAGGGACAACAACCACTTGTGGCTGGGTCAGCTGCCCTGTGCAGAGCCAGGAAGGGTCGCATGGACCAAGACCTGGGTTTCAGTACCTACCTAGGGCAAACTCGAGAAAGTTGGAAATAGCTTAAGAATGATGCGTGCTGGAGTTCTTTATGCTATGTCTTGCGGGTATGCAAATATTAATGTTCAGAGTTCTCCCAGGTGGTGACAAGTGCAGACTTTACCAAGGCCTTCCTGCAGTACTGCTAAGGGCAACATCGTGTCGCAGTTGCATCCTCGCCACATCCCTGACATGCTCCAGGGCTTTGGCTTGAAACGTCCTTGAATACTGTCGACATGCAGACAAAAATATGGCGAGGAAAAACCCTTGCGTGCAGTGAACAAAAGCCCGTGCATCTAGAAAAGTTCTTGCATGTTGGCTGCAACGATGACATAGGCTCTACCAGATGAAGATGACGTGTCTCACGGGCAGACGAAACAGCGCAGATTCTTGCAGAATACTTGGCTTGTTATCAGACCACTCCCAAACAACACCCAGCGCCCTCGGGACTGCACGAGGCTGTGCGAGCGGCTGCTGGTAGCATTGAAACACCTAAGCAACATGTCGATGGGGATGTGTTCAGCAGTTGTGCCTGGTGGCACTGCAATGCTTGAACGAAGTCTGAAAGGTCGCTAGGTACTGGCGGCACATGACTTCATCTCGCAATGCAATGTATCTCCAAGACCGTCGCAAAGAAGAGAGGGGTAGTATCGCTACGGATATGATGTCATGGAAGACATGCGTCTTCGTGCCACAAAGCCGCAACAACTTGCCATATAGCTTCAACCCTCAGCCCGTCGACTACATGACACCCGCACGCGTCTCTGTACGAACCTGCGTCTTGTCAGCTTTGCGCATGTGTATCGGCATGCCTGTAGGCTGCATACACGCGCATGATGTAGCCTGAAAGCCGCGGCCGAAGTACTCGAACCTCAGAATGTTTCGATAAGGTTCCCCTGTCATCCGCCGTCTGCCCGAGCCCTCTCACGGGCAGTAAAACCCAAGCTGCCCGGCGTGCTACGAGTGCTGCGGCGCTCTGCGGCTTGCAAAAGCAAGGCCTCCGCATCCTGTCTTCAAGTATGTCTCTGGCGCGGAAGATCACCCGTAAGCCCCTGAGGTTCCTGGAATCCGCACGGTATGAGCAAGGAACACATTGCTTGACTTTTCTGTGTTTCGTATAGGTGTGGACCCTATATCAAGCCGGTAACTTCCGAAATCTCCTAGTTCTGGGAAGCGCAAATACAAGGAAAAACAAGCCTGGCTGCTAGAGTCTAGGGGGAGATGTGAGGTGGGCTGGGAGCTTCCATGTACGTGGAATCCCCGTCCTCAATGGCCGCGACCTCGATGGAGGTCGCCTGCCACGGATTACTGGTGGCTCTGCTGTTATCGGTGCAGCCTCCCTCTTTGGGCGACCGAACCCCTAATAAGGACCCCTAGGTGTATACCCACAATATAGCCCTTATATACCCGTTATATAGCCCATTTTAGGGTAGGGGATGGTCCCAAATGTCAACCCGCTCTCTTGAAAAGTCACTGGGGTCCATGGCAGTCTGCCCTCGAAGAGTTCCAAAAGCTGGATGTACGACTTCCGGTCAGATGCATTAAAATCAGGCAAGTCCTCTGTCTTCTTGAAGACTCGCGGGGTGAAAAGTGCCGAACACTTCCTGGTTTTGTACCGGAAGGAGTCTTTGTTGTACCACGCACAAACTCCTCAATGCTCCTGCATGTTTACTTGCCGGGACCATCGCTTCATTCACCAGCGGCTTTAACTACCTTCATCAAATTAGCAAGCCCAGTTGGCAATCAACGGGTCGGTATCCACAACTTCGACAAATCCGTAACTGCAACCGTTGCCGCCAAAACACACACTCCATTGAACGGCTAGTGGGCCTTTGCTTCAACCCAAAGCGTCTACAGCCCATGCCACAAAACCCTCGCCCTCCCTCCCTCACTCGATCTCTCTCTCGCCTTCGTCAGGGCATAAGGTGCTCTCTCTCCCTCTCCCTCTCTAGCTCTCCCTCACAAAGACTCACGTTGTATGGGACCCTACGACTCGAAGCGTTTAACCTTCCAGCTCTGAACTCAGAAAACCACTAAAGCCCAGAGCCCTAAAAAAAGCTCCAGGCCTGCTCCAAAGCTACACGGCAGCCATGCCGAAAGCTGAGCCCCGGTGGAGGGGCAAAGCGCCCCGCCGAGAAGGCGCGGCCTGTTCACGAGGCGTTTGAGGCTCTTTATACACACCATCTAATGGGCCCCAAAACCCTATTCTCATTGTTAAGGCCCCTACATGGCTCAAGGTCTTTGTTATTTAGACTGGGTTATATAGTTTTACCAGCTCAGTCACGTGACAGCTCTTTCTTTCTGGGCGAGGGGGTTGAGCCCTTCGAACCTGCAGCTGGGAGATACCAGAGTTTCACACAAAATGGAATACAAAAAACATGAACCCATATTATGAGGATACTTGCTGCCAATACAAGCCCTATATCGATCAGAAAAGAATGTAAAACCAGTCCCTCGTGGTCGGTGATTTCCTGCTGGTCTTCTGCTCGGTCTGGTTTTCTGAAACTGAGTAGCCGACCCGACGGCTCGTTTGCTGCCTCGCTGGCGCAAGCTGCCGAACCGTCGAGGAGGTCATACCTGTCTTTTGTGGAATTCAGGCTTGTCGGTGTTTCGGCGCTCACACTCGGACAATCCAGGCGAGGCATATAGGTTCGGAGTCATACCAAGTGAAACTTCACTAAGAGGAGATGCCAAGGCTCTCACCAACAATGCTAAACACCAGCTGAAATAACTGTACCTCGTCAGGCCTCATCCTCTACTCAGGGTCCTGCGAACATAAAAGCACAACATGTAGAACCAGGACCCCAAGCACAACTGTAGATCACTCGCCTCGACGAGCCAACTAAATACAATCAGAGAAGGATTTCGGCATTTCTCGGTTTGTGCGAGAAGGATTTAGGGTTTAGGATTTATCACAGCAGTAGATACACGAGATCACAAAACTCTGGCTCGTCTCTAGGAGGAGCACTGAAGTCAGCTGCTTACCGACATCAGGCATAGCCAATTAGCTTTGCCTAATTACATTGCATTGCCGCAGTATATTCAAGAGACTACCCTTGACCCGTGAAACAGTGTGGACTACCCTGGGACAGTGTGAAACATGCAAGCTTCGTCAAATACCTCTATGCACATGCAGTGATTCGAACTGCAAGCTTTGCACCGAATTAATGGTTCACAACATGCACTGTGTTACTCACTCGCGAAGGTGTTCGGGCTTCCGGTGTTTAAGGCCTTGGGGTTTTGGGCTTTTCGGACATGGTGTTTTCCGACGGATAGGAAATGCAGAGTAGCTCCCTCCGAGGCTTTAACTGCAAATTGAGAAGCATCGGCGGAGGGCCTGGCTAGTCACAGCCCTTTGACGGGTGTCGGCAACGGAAAGCTTGCCCAGGAGTAAGACATTAGGGTGACACAAACGTGTGTAGCAAGGTGACCATGAGTTGTGCAGCGGGCGAGTGAGAAAAGAGAATGGAAGCTCAGCATGGCGTGGCATACGCTCACCCACATCAGGTCTCGCGGCCGTCTCGGCTGGTGCGCAATACCAAGCGGCTTTGCGTGGCTACAAGGCAGCTATTTTCCTGGCTGGCTTGGTGGGCGCTCGCACCCGAGCCGAATCAAGAGGCCATCGCAGCTCACGTTCATGATGTTGCTGTGCGCAGTCCATTAGCGGGATGATCTTCAGGATGCTAGCATCGGGAGAACTGAGAAAAAAGTCTTGAACGCTGGCGCAGCTGCCGCTCATGACGCCACGCCCTCGCACTTTCCCACGCAAGCCGGCTCAAGGCTGTAGCAACTGACGGCCATGATGCTGCTATGGAAGTTTGCTCTGCGCTTTGGGTTTGGATGCTCGGGAAAAATAGGTTTACAAGGTTTGCGAGAAGAAAAGCGTTTCTGTCGCTTAAACCCGCATAGTTTGAGGTGAGAGTTTCCAGGGATGAGGGCGAAGGTTGCCGCAAAGGACCTTTGTAGAATACGTTGTAGCGTTAGCACAGTCATAGGGATATCGTTTTGGAGCAGGCCAAGGATATACCTCTACTCCCGTGGGTACGAATGTCGCCATCGCATCATCGAGGCAGCCGACTGTAATATTGCGAACCCGATGGCACCGGGAATAGTTTCACACAATAGCTCAGTAGAGGGTACTTACCAGCCGTGCCAACATGTGTGCAAAACCGATTTCGTAGAACACCACTACGGGAACCAACCCTTAGAGCGAACAGAAGACAGCTGCTTTGTCGAGGCACGCCGTGTCATTGTAAATCTCCACGGCGCTCAGGGACACAGTGGCCCCACCTCCCGCTTCGGGGCATGCCAAATTAGATGAGGGTATACAAGACCTATACAGGGCTCCGCAGGCATGTAGACAACATCCATTTTTGTGTGAAACCATGTGCTGCATACGTCGTTACGGCCTGGAAAGGCTGTGAAGCTTTAAGATGCTTTACGGTTTGGCAGGTGGTACTGACGGCATCAAAGCATGCTTTTCACTTTGGCCTCTCTCCACATCCTCACAAGCCTGTGAAGCTCTGACCCCAGGCCTCCTTGCATGTTTCGCATCGTCTGCAACATTACGATGACGAGGTGAGATTAGCTTCAACAGCCGTTGCACCATGGGTTTGAATCCTCTTCGTGCATTTGGTGGCCATTGTACGATTATTTCATGCTTTCAGACCTCGACGAGAAGCCCATGAAGTCGAATCAGTCATTGAACACTCCCGACTACTGTAGATCACTGTGGGACTTTTCCCTGGACTTTTCCCACACAGCACCTCTAGGCGTGCAAAGCGAACAAAAGTATACAAGCAAGAAACGAGTGCTCATCTTATACAGCGGGTTTATTCTCACAACCTGTGCTCCTCCGTCGTCAAAGCTCTGGCTTTTAGCACTCACGTCACCCTTCCTTCGAAGCTTTGGGGCCCGTACTGGCGCTGGCCAGCGCAAAGACCTCCCCGTCTGTGGGAGTTTCGGAGCTTTATTGCCTTTTCGACTGCTTTGGGGGGGGCTTAGGACTGTGTAGGCAATGAACCTTCCGTCTCTCATGTTTGGGAACAGCCTAGGTTGAGCTTGCCCAAGGCCTTGCCAGCCCGCTTGAACTGGAGCCGGATGCAGAAAAGTTCTTGTGCGATTCATGAGGACTATTTTATTGACAGCACTAAACTGCTAGAGACGGAAGGCTGTTCTTGCACGAGAAGATTAAATCTCAGGCTAGGCCATGGCGGTGGTTGTGCACCGACATCTTCTTCGCGACCCACCCCCTCCCGCACTTTTCATTGACTGCTCCTGACTTGTATAGCTGTATACCAGTATATACATCTAGGAAGCACATCCATCCACATAGGTCTGACAATGTACATCTGGCATCCCCTGTTCCCCGAAACCTCTGATGCACTGTTACCATCTCCAATGCAGTGTCTACAGCAGCAAGGCACGGGGAGGTCCTCATAGAGGACCCGAGGAACGAGACCTCGTTGATCGCCGGCTCCTCTGCGTCGTGAGACTCGCCAGGATCAAACGAATGTGGGAAAATCAACGAACGAAAAGGTTTAAAGCCACGAATGAGAACTGTGCCTCGGCTCAGCTCTGTGAGAGCACCTATTTACATGTGACTCCTCCCGTTGACCTGTCGGTCTGCGTACTTCTGATTCTCTTCAGTGTTGCTTGCTTCCAGCCTTGCACACTCTTGGTCCATCAGACTTTCAACATCGGGAAATGAAATGCAGCAAACTGACGTATGAGGTTTCAGGATCAGCGATCTCTCTGCAGCATTGCAGCCGTTCCACGCTGTATCACCGATTCTCGCTGCTGATCAGTCTCGGTCGGTTAGGTGGGATGACAGCACAAGTGACAAGTGCACATGTCCTCCGTGCATGGTAAAGGTCTTTCCGGAACCTGCAGCAAGCTTTCTGCAAACTACCTCGCGAGTGTAGAGAAAAGGGACCCTGCGCTGCAAAGATCCCGAGCAGATCGTGATCAAACCCCGAAGCACGATCATTAATTAAGCCGTCTATAAGCCTTCGAACTCTGCACTGCTTAGACCCGCAACAGAAAGAAAGGCGGAGGAAACTAGAATGCTCTCTTCTGCTCAAACATGCATCAATGAAATAGCAGAATGAAACAACGCACAGGGCAAGGACGGCGTCTTTTTTCGGCAGTGGTGTCCATATAAATATATATATATATATATATATATATATATATAATTATGAATATATATATATATGTATTGATAATGGCTTGTTCCGATATTATGCCGATTCAACCTGAGTACGCAGACAGGGGACAACCCAGCCATACTACCAGTACAGTGTTGACTTGAGACAATTTTTTAAAGTCGCACCCTTGTCATGCGCTGACCTGTCTGCCCATATGCGAGGATGCAGGCAGACCTGATGACGCGGTTGAGTTGAGCACGTTGGGTAGCAATTGTGGTTGACTGCGCTACAGTCATCAACATTCAGTATATCATTACTACTCGATTACTATCGATGTTCTTCTTGGTGTTTAGGATGCGAAGACGAGTTCAGAAGCTTCGAAGGATTCCGCTCTTGGTAAGACCCTGCAGGCCTGTGGACGGCCGTCTAACCCGCCCAAAGACGTGAGATCCATGTATCTTCGGATCTTCCTAGTCAGGATCGGTGCATCGCGGGGCCATAGGGAGGGTAAGGAATGGGCAAGACTGAGCAAAAAGCTGGATCCAGGAATTCTTCTGCTCCGGCTGCCAAGACGACTGTGTTGAACTAACAAGGAGCCCGGGATCGGTTTTGGATTCAGGGCTGGTTTCGGCCTCCAAAGCAACTCCGAACCTCGCATCCGGAAGTAAAGCCCGAAACCACATTGCAGGGCTCGGGTCCGGACTGAGGAGGTCCTGCCAAACCACCTTGCAAACACAAATGCAAGTAGTAGTAGTCGTCGTCGTGGTGGTGATGGTAGTACTAGTAGTGGTAGTGGTTGTGGTCGTGGTCCTGGTGGTGCTGGTAGCGGTAGCGGTAGGGGTAAGCGGTAGTAATAGTAGTAATACCAGTTCGTCCAAATACAATGGCATGGCACGATCTGTTGAATGCAACTTGTTTGGTATGCAGCTGTGAGTGCAGTTGCTTCTGGAGTAGGACTTCGCCAGGCCAATACAGATCAAGCCCCGACAGCCATAGCCTGCAGCCCAACCTGACATGGGCGCCAGTGCTGGATTTAGAGAGCGGCCTAGGGGGTTTTTTTGGTCTCTCACTCTCGCAAAAACGGTGTTCTTTCGGAGCTCACACTCGGGCAAGACAGGCCAGGTCATTGCTTCCTGGTCGGTCGAGGTGAGCGCTTCCATGAATGTGCCGAGCAACGCCAAGCTACAAGACGAGCAAATGATGTGATTTAGGATTTCGGGGCTTTCGGCACTGAGAGTTCGGCATAAACCCGAAACCACCTTGAAGGCTCGCAGTGTGCTCGTCTGGTCTACCCCAACTTGCAATGCAATGTCTAGATGGTTTGTTGGGGGGCATGAAATTCCGAAATGGATCGTATTTAACCCCTGTGCAGCCACCCGAAATGCCTCTGCACGCAAAACTGCGAAACGAGACTCTCCCTGACCTGTTGTATGATGACGAGTATTGTCAGCATCGGCATATATCACAACGTTTAGTACGACCAAGATAGTCTGATAGTCTAACTTATGCTTGAGGCTAGGGGTTTTAGGGGACCTCAGGGCCCGAAACGCCTGGAGTGGCCGAGGGCATCATGGCCCGAAGCTCTTGGAAGACCTGGTCTTGGTCCTGCCACGGGTTGAGGGTTCAGGGTCAGGGTTATGCTTCTTTCAGGCTTTCAGGGTTTCGGGTTAAAGAGATCGGGCTTTGTAACGCTTACACTAGGACAAGTCCAGGCAAAGGCCTGAAACAACTCGGGAGGTTGTGGATCCGAGGCTCGATGCGACTTGCGATCCCGCAGTCAAGTGTGAAGCATGTGCGATGCCACAGTCACTGAGGTCTAGAGTTTTGGTGCATTTGTCCTGAGAGGTTAGGCTTTGGGGCTAGGCGTACCGTACGACAAAATATGATTAACCCCCCACCCCCACCCCTGTTGCGCTTCCCTTTGAAAAATATGGGGGTCCTGATCCGGGCTGAGCACATAGTCCAGGCGCTTGAAGCTGTGAACTTCCTGGGCTAGCTTCATCGAAGCATTTCGAAGCAAAAAAGTCCTCAATCACAAGGGCCGAGAGTAGTGCAGCAGCTCAGCTCCACAAACCATCCACCGTGACCACTGTTTAAGCTCCAAGGTTTACATTCTGGCTTTGAAAACTTTAATTACGAGCAACAAAGCAAATACTACACTGCGAGAAGGCTACGTCAGAACCTGGGCGGCCGCTGCGCCGCGGCACGGACACCTCGTCTCAGCAGATTTCTCACCCATATATGATGATGTGTGCATCGACGCGCCCAGCCAATCGCCCCGCGAATGTTGTCAGAGGTGTGCTAGGTATGGATGCTGGAAGCACATGAACCTGCGTAGATGCGTACATGGGCACGCTCCTTCACCTTTACATGAGGGAGTGAGATGAAGAAAGAGACCTATTTGCTGTGCTCTTCCCGCCGGCTGACAGCAGATCCAGAATATTCGAAAAGACCCTGAGTATGCCCTGAACACTCACAAACTGCCAGTGAAAGGAATCCTGGAAGAAAAAAAGGTACCGACATGTCAGCTATGAAAACTGTTCGGAGAGGGAACTGGAAGCCGCAAGCAATACTCACATCTCTCAATTCTGTGCGGGGCAGATTGATAAGCACTGAACCCGACAGTCTTATGGTAGCCTCATCATCTTTTGCCTATAAAATCTAAACCTCGATTAGGGCCTCTATAATCTTAACCCGAGCACCAGAAGCGCTATGAAACAACCTAAACCTTGAGCCCAGAACTCGGACGATCTAATCCTATTCTCTAGATGCTTGTGTCATGTGGGTAGTTGTCAAAATTAGGGTCCCTTTTTGGGTACCGTAAATATTAGGTGCCGTACTATAATAAGGACCCAAAAAGGGACCCTAAGATTGACAATCACCCATGTAATTGAGCCCGACGCCCTCCTGGAGATCCAAGTTCTGTCCGAGTGGCCGTGAGACCCCGGTGCTTCGCAACACCCTCAATCAGTCCCACAGCCTTACTCTAAGGGCTCTCTGGACGATCTTAAGCGGGCTTTGAAGCGCATTACAATGTGTTTTCGGTTTTACAGGGTGGAAGCGATCACAATGACAATGATGATGGTGGTGGAGATTGCTGTTGCTTCGAGATTATACTGGGTTTGCCCGGTGCATAGATGCTACGCAGCCCTGCATGTGGCACCACCAACTTCCGTTTCCGAATGTTTCCGAGAGGTGGATCAAACAACATGCGCACATCACAGCTCCCACACCGTGCATGCATGACCTACGGGCTAAAAAACAATCGGAGACCGACTGAGCGCGTAACTGCAGGTACGCATGAACACTTCAATTACACACGTGACTTTTATCACTTGACTCCGGCGAGTTCACATACCGAGTTCAGGCCAAATGCCAGCGACAGCTGATCTCCACTCCAGCGGCAGAGCTTGAAGCGTCACAACGAAGTCATCTGTAAGAGTATATACTAGTATATAATACATGTAGTATATAATAGGTCAATAGGGGTGTGAGGTGCAAGCGTCGCGCCGTCATCAGACCACGACCAGGCAAACAGTCGGAACATGAAGAACGGTTTGCCCATCCGGGAATGTCGAAGTGCATTCAACGGCAAGGATTCGAAATCCCCCGCGTCGGAGAGTTGTAGGGTTTGTGGCCCAGTAGTGTCAATTTATGCCATGCATGAGCCATGAGGCTCCATTTCAGTGACGACGGCGCACAACCAAGGAGCAGGCTGAGAAAAGGCCGGCAAGCGCCAATGTCCAGATCTGTTCCCCAGACGATTTCAACTCATGATGCACGGATGCGATTTTGCTGAGGTGAGGCGGAGACATTGTACACTGCTTGTCACGCAGTGCGAGTACGATAACGACTCTCCTGCTGATCGGCAATCGTGGGGCTTCTATGCATCGTATTCATCTCGTAGGTTCCCTCCACACGAGCCGATCTCTCTCTCTCTCTCTCTCTCTCTCTCCACTTCTGCCGCGCCATCACCCAGGGTCTCGCTACGCAGCGGCACGCGATGGCAGGCTAGAACAGCAGGAGGCATAGCGGCTTGCAATGTGCCCCCATACTGATTGCAGGCCTTAGCGCGTGGCCGCATCTTGGCTCTGGATTTCGCTCCCAGACTCAGGCCGGCCTGGCATCTACGATACTGGCCGTATGATTGCAAAAGCCTTCTGGGGTATTTCAATAATTAGTATATAAAGGCACCTTAGCCTGAGCAGTAGTATTCTACTAAGTATCCAGACATATTACGCACGTGTAGAAAGCTTGAGGCCACAGGCGGCTGTTCTGGGCACACAAGCTGTCACGAGCATGAACCCGCTGACAGGAGCCATGCCTAATACCAACCTCAAAGGCTGCGGGAGGACTTCGTAAACCAACCTGAGCTCACACAGCTCCATCACGACCCCGATATCTCGGCCTGAAGGTGGGCGCACGCGCACGACCACCTGGGATCTACGGCGCCCCAAAAATTAAGGAAAGCAAACAGTGGTGCAAAGGAATGAAGGTCAGCTTCAAGCACGTTAATTAGTGGTCCTGTCAGGCTATCGTATGCACAAGTACGGAAGGGTAGCTTCGCCATACAGTAAGGTCTAAACTGGGCGAGCGGCTCTGATTGTGCCACTGCGCTGCTGCCACTGAGTAAGCCTTAGGCTGTGGATCGCATCTTCACGTTCACTTCTCATAAGATCTATCAAGGCTTCAAACCAATACAGGGTCCACACTCTCTTGTAAGAATCGTGACATGGGGGCTCCAGCTTGGGAAACCCAAACCAAAACCAATATTCAAGTGATTGTTTGATCCCAAGATCTGGAGGTGATGCCTGTGCGACAGCAGCGGCAACCGCAGTCTGCATGTTGACTCCAATGTTGACCGTGAACAACTGACACCCCTCGGCTCTGGCAAAGCCTTTTTGCCTGCCGGGCGGAAACAAATGCAGCGCCAGTGGAGTGCCTGCCGGGACACACAGTTCCGGAAATGGGCGGCTGGGCATCGCACTTCCCTGCAAAGATTTACCATGGTCTTGCTGGAGTATGTGTAACTTAACCAACAACAACTTTCGATCATTCGCTTTCCATGAGGCCTGCAGAGGTTCTGCGTGTCTGGGGTCTGGAATTTCGTGGACGAAGTGCACGTTGAGGTAGAAGAGCTTCGGCCGCGTCATCTGTGTCTGACACACAGAGTTGGACATTCTCATACATCAGACCGTGATGTCCGTGATGTAGCTGTCCTTCGCGCATGGCTGTTGAAATCCAGTACAAATATCGCCACTACACTAGAGCCCCCGACTGGAGCGCTAAGATTCGAACCATTAAATGCTGTCCCCGTCGTCTGCACCCACTCCGATAGGGTTCAGTGCTCCGACGCACGCAAATTCGACCATCCAGGCTAAGGGTTCAGGGTTTGGAGAACGCTGAACGCCGACCCAACGCCCTGCTGCAACCTTGGAGGTACGAACCTGCACTTACCCATCCTTCATGGTCTTCTTCGCGTCCTCTTCCGAGATCATGCTGTGCCGTACTCAAAACCGAGGTCGCCCTGAGGTGGCAAGGCTTGTTGATAAGAACAATTCTGTCAGTCTTTATGCTTGCTGTCCTGGTTGCGGGTTGTTGGTGATATGTTATGAGGCTCGTACCATGTCTCTGTCCTAATTTGTGTTACTATTATATGATGTCGTTTTGACTTTTCATCGGGCGGAGCAAACGCTGCTGCCGTGTTGCTGAAATGAGACTACGGGCATGTTCTCACCTACGTACGTATGCACGTGTGCCTGTTTTCCACATGCATATAAAACATTTGTATGTATCATAGATAGATAGATAGATAAATAGATAAATAAATATAAATATAAATATATATATATATATACAAATATAAACATGCAGAAATATAAACAGAGATACAAACAGAAACATAAATATAGGTATAGATATAATGATATAAATATAAATATAAGTACAAATAAAAAATATATAATTTCTCCGGGATTTCCATGCTGTCAGTGGAGTGGGCAGCTAATTAACTGCTTGCAGGAACCCCCCTTTGAGGGCTCAAAAGCGGTAGCCAGGGGGTGACGCCAAAAGATGCAGGGGCTTGCAGCTGCGGCCGACGGCCACTCAAGAGCGCTGACCACACTGCCTGTAATTCCTTTGGCAAAAGTACACTGGGGTCACGGACGACGGATGTGTCAGGCAGAGCGTCCCTGTACAATCGCCACGCTTCTTCCCAGCAATTGCCCAATGAGAACAACGGTGCGCCCGGGGTCCCGTCATCTCCCGCCACCTCGTCGATGCAGTCAAAGGCTTGCAACTTCTCGCTGAAGGTAGCAAGTGTAGGCATGTCCGCGGCTGGCTGGGCTGCTTGCGAAGGTCCTGTTGCCATGAAGCTCTCAAGCTCCCTCTGTCTGCGCCGCCTGCTGCCTTATCCCGGGCCTGCCTCCTGGTCGCCTCTGCCCGACACTTCTGTCCAGAATTGCCTTTGGCAAACAATGCAGATCGTGCCGTCGTGCCCGTGATGGGATACAATTGAATAACGATACTCTGCGCAACGCCCGTGAACCTTGAACAGATGTACGCCGAGCACGGCTCTGCTCCAAAACGATCTTCGGCACGAGCGGCTCGGCCACTTGGCTGGGTCCTGTTGGTCCGGTCTGGCAACTGTTTTGAACAAGGTCCACAGGCAGATCTTGTACGCGATCTCCTCCTAGCTTGTAGGTGGAAAAGTCCTTGGCCAGCTGCTTGTTGGTACACCGCTTGATCGCTGCGGTGCCTCATGCAGGAGATGCTACTTGTACCATTGTGGCCAAGCCGCGTGGCAAGTGGCGGGCCAGTCTCCTTCAGCGCCCCGCACCAACCAATCCATGTCCTCACGCCAGCGTGTACAAGCTGGGAAACAGCACCGGGGTTGAGTCCCCGGTGCCAATGTGGAGAGAGTGCAGAGAACCATGGACCTCCCCGCGGAACTTGGTGCGCATCGACTTGTGCAAAGTTTTTCCCAAGTGGCCGCTCAGGAAAATGCTTCGATGGTTCCCCACTTGGCTTTGCAAGCCCGATCTTTTGAACATCTCGAACAAGACGCCAAGACGCCTCCTCGCCACTGGACTGGCCGGCGGAATGCCAGCAGGGATTTGAGGAAAAGAGGCTGGGCAATCTTGGCCAAGCCTGTTGGACAGGCTGCCAAGAGGTCGCTCGGCAGACTGTCCAGTCCGCCCGTCTTGCCGGGCTTGGTTTTCCTCATCAGGCCCTGGATGTCCGTAAGAGAGGCAGCCATTCATGGGTCCAAACAGCTGGGCTGTGTCACCGTGTCCCGGAGGAAGTCGGCCGTCATGCGGATGACATTCTGGTCCCGGCGACCAAAATGTAGAAGCCGGATTTGGTCTCGCTGTCCCTGAGTTTGCGCCAACTCACCCGTATCCGGGTGCATCAGGGCTGGGAGGGCCTAACCACCGGCTGTCTTGTTTTGCCGCGCGCCGATGCCAGCGTGCTTGGCCCGGTTGTAAGACCTCGGGGGCCCCTTCCATCTTTCACAATGGCTCCAAGCATAGCATCCTTGCGCCTCGCGATCATGACCTGATCTTCTTGGTGGCGATTTTGATGGCGGCGGCGATCACCTCGTAGATGATAGTATGTCTCCGAAGTCTCTCGAGTGCGGGAAAGGAGGTCCCTTTTCTCCAGCACAAAACGGCCTGGCTGGCAAAGTTCCCCCAAAGACCCCGCCCAACAGAGGGTTCGGGCCCTCAGCCGAATTTTGGCATCGCGCAAGACCCATGCCGCCTCCGGGATGTAAGAAGATCGTTGCCAGGGAGGTGGCTTCGGAAACCATGTACCGAGGGCCTGCTGCCGGTAGTCCTGGAGTCATTGGCAATGGTCGTCAGGATGGACGCTCCAGGCCGGTTGCTGGAACTGGTCACAGACTTCCTGGAGGATCCGGCGGCCCGCATCAGTTCTCATGGCCTCATATATGTAGGTACAAGTAGAGATAAAGAATTTAGATATTTGCATAATATATGAATAAAACGTTGATAAATGCAGGTATAGATCTATAAAGATACAGACATAGAAATGATATAGGTGTGGGTAGAGGTACAGGTATAAGTATAAATGTAGATGTACATGTGTCTATGTTCTATGTGTATGTAACGTATGTAGACCTTCTGTCACACCAAGCCCTTACAGCTTTCGCAAAGCTGCGAAACTTTGGGTTCACGGCTTGGGGCTCAGTTCTACTCACAGAGCTCACGGGGTTCATGTGCTCGAAACCTTGGGCTGTCCTTTTCGGATTTACGACGACGACTCCGACCTTCGCGAGCATTCAGGACTCAGGCCTCGCTTCCAGAATCCGAGAATCCAAGCTCAGCCAAGCTACCCGAGGTGACTGGGCAGCATGCCATGTGCCCGTACATCTGCGTGCCCTGGCGATTCAATGCTAGCTGAATATTTGCAGCCACCTCGCCTCCTGCAGAACCATAGCCTCTGTGTTCATGTGTCTAGCCTGGGTTTAATAAATTTAATTCAACGTACGACCCTAAACCCCGGTGGAGAGTCTTTTGCTAACAAATGGCGTGGCTCGGCCCTTTCGTGCAGCAAGCCCTTTAGGAACTATAAAGCCAATAAGCTGTTTTGCTTCGCAAGCGAGCTGAAGGTAGCGTAGCTTTGTCAATGCTGTTTTTGCGGCATGCTATGTCAGAACTCCACATTGGAGTCTTCTGTTCTCGGGTTACAACTCACAGCATTTCGTGTTGCTGCGCATTAGCAGGATAGCCCAGGACCCTTGCGAATATCGAGAAATAACAATTCGGAGGATCGTTTCTTGGGGCAATCCAACGAACCTAGTGGGGAATTCCACTTCGAGTGATCCCCGTAGGCGCGGCCTTGGGAAATCAAATTCGCGAGGTCCGGCTTCACACCCCGGTATAACGGGCAAGCCCAACTTCTGAAGTGGAGTCTCCCGCCAGCTTGACACACACTACGGAATGCTGCAAGTTACCAGTTCCCGTGAGCTTGCCACAGAGAGGGGCGCCCCGAAAGCAAGAAGCTAAACAAGACGAAACAAACAGCACAAAAGGGAGCACGTAAAGAAAGGAACAACCGCGAAACCACAACATGTAAACAGCGACAGCAGTCTGCTGTCGGCAACAAGCAAATACAAGAACTGCAGATCGAAGACGGCAAGCATGAGACAAACTTGCATGATTCTAAATGCAGACGGCAATAGGAATAAAACTGATTAGCAACAACAGCGGAGCAAGAAGCCAGACACCAGGGACCAGGGGAAGGCAACCCTTGAGCCATATTTTAAAGAAAGCAAGTTGACATAAACCCTATAAGCTCCCCTGAATCCTCCTAGACTCCAAGTCCCCGCCGCCAAAGCCCAAACCGCAGCCCTCGTCCTGCACTGCTGGCGGCACGCCACAGTCAAAGGCCGGTGACGAGATGTTTGCAGCCTTGGAGAAAGCAAAGCTGCGACTTTGGAATTCAAAGGCTCGGGGTGTAGGGGGGGGAGGGCAGGAAGAGCTCTGCTCATAAACCGTGTTACAACAAGAATACGAGTGCTCGCGTGGACGTCCACTGTGACATGTAACAACTAGCAAAGGCCCATGCCTCATCTTAAACGGAGTATTACAGTTTCGAAACCTGAGTCCGAGACT